ATCACAGGGGACGAATTTACGTTTGATTAAAAAGTGTTTTCGTATTCTACACTTATGGCGCGCACACACATTAGGATAGGTTAGATGCCTGCCTCCACTGCGACTCCCTATCAAGCACTTTACATATTCAGCTACTCTCCTCTCCTCCTCCTGCCTGGCTCTTTGGCCAGCATCACTCACCGCAGAGCAAGCCTGTTCTTGATAAATCTGCTGTGAAAACGTGGGAAAAGCCGACGAGGAAGAAGTTGGGGTGAAGCGATCTTTATATAGGCGGAGTCCAGCCCTGAGACCTTTATATCTCAGGGCTGGACTGATTACCAGTCCAGCCCTGAGCATCACCATATGCTGGATTGTACGGCTCATGAAACACTAAACCATGTTTATTTCTATTAGGTTTTTGATGTCTTACTGGCCAGGCCTCCTGTGTCAAAACAAATGTGTTAAGCATACATAACAAATGTGACAATTTAGCTAGCAATATTCTCACCTTGACTAGGTGACACAGATGGCAATGTATATACATGTGGAGAAGAGCAAGTGACACCACTCTCTGTGACAACAGCTAAACTTGACCTGTCCTGGAAGACACAAGAGTAATGCTCTCCTCGTTCCAGACTGGGAAGACCAGGGATGGATAAAGAGATCTAAAAGGAGCAAAAGAAATATAGAGAGAGATGGAATAAGAGACAAAGTCAATTTGGATTTTTAAGAATTGAAGGCAGAGAGTTGGTTATTGTTGTTTGTGTGCTCAATAATGGTCACTGTGAACTAAGCTTATATAAATATATGCATCTTGTATTTTATCGAAATGTAACGTGTACTACTGAATTAGGCTAACTTTTTAAACTGGATCTTTTTTTAAAAATGTGTTAATATGTGAAACACACAATTCTCCTCTCCTCTCGGCTGATGTTGGATGGATTGAGAAACGTCACGCTCAGGCATTGTTGCTCTATATCAAAGCTCCAAAGCCACTGATCTTTCTGATCCCCACGCACACACTCGATACGAAGCCCACACCTGATGCACAAAGGCACAATGTTCTAGTTCAAGTATCCAATTATTCAGAATAAAACATTCTGTATATGAGGTTCTTTTCAAATATGAACTTACTTCCCCTCCAGAACACACCAGCCACAATATGGATCATGAGCCAACAGGCAGGACTGACAATCCAAATGCTTTTCACACTCTGCTACAGACCTCTTCTCTAGCTGTGTGGGCACAGTAATAACAATTATAATTAATGAATAAAAACAGCGGGGAAATACAAATAATGACAAAATTATATACTACACAGACTCACCAAGGCTGCATTTATTTGATGAATGATTTTTGAAGGATCATGTAAAGTAATGGCTTTTGAAAATTCATATTTGCCTTCACATGAATAAATCACATTGTAAAATATATAAACTAGTTAAAGAGTTATTTTAAATTGTAATAATAGCTCACATTATTACAGTTTTATTATAGTTTTAATTAAGTAATCGCAGTATTAGTGAGCATAAGACACTTTTTTCAAAATGTTTGAGCTGCAGATTACAGACATACACTGCATACACACACACATTTAATTCCATTATATTAACCTTTTTTGTTATTAATATATTACCAATATTACCTAATCAATTCAATTTCAATTTGTGGATTTGTGATCAGAGAAGCAGCACACGTTTTTGTCGTAAGCACAGCTATGTTAATCAGTAACCTGATCAATGTGATCATTTGTTTATTAAATGAAACAGATGGGAGTATTTCATTCAGTTTTTTTCCCTAGAGATGTCCAAATTCAAGCTTCTTCATATATAATGTTGCTTTTCTGGTGTCTTCAAGCAATATCATTAAAATTGTTTTAGCATCACCATATGCTGGATTGTACGACTCAGAAAATATGGCCAAAAGCCATCAATATTTGACATTTGTTTTTTGTTTTGTACAGGGTTGCGATTACATTTAATTGTAATGGGAGTCCAACTCAATTTTCCTTATAGTCCCTGCACCAAACCAGCAAGACAGAAAGCTATTCTTCTGCCTTCCTGTGTATCCTTTTAATATATTTGTGTGATTTATGAACTTGATCATTCAAAAGCCTTATATTCGAGAATGGCAGCGATCACGGCCTGCTAATTCTTAAAATAGTCCTGAGAATTTCTGCAGCAACTGCTTGCATTAAAAGACTGCAAACTTCACATTGCACTAGACTGCAAAACTGCACTAAACTTCAGAGATAAATCAAAATGAAACTGAAATATCATGTAATGATACAGACTCATTAAAAAGAAGTTAATGGGAACCAAAAACTGTTTGGTCACCATCATTCTTCAAAATATCTTCTTTTGTGATCCACAGAAGAAAGAAAGCCATACAAGTTTGGAACAACATGAGGGTTGAGTAAATGATGACAAATTTCATTTTTGGGTGAACTACCCTTTTAATATTAAGGTTTTTGTTCAGTTTTGTTTAGTTCAGGTTTCATTCTATTAATTATGCATGACCTACAAGAACTACTTTGTCAACAAGTAACAACATTGACACTCCCAATTCCTCTTCAGCAATGTGATATTTACCATGTTACTTGTCAAGATGTATAGATGGTTCTCTTGACGGTCAAGCCTGAGCTCTCTGCTTATTGGTGCACTGGGATGGATGGAGATTACTGCATATTCTTCCACCTCACCGTTTGGCCCAAGAAATACCTGGATAAAACACAAACACACACACTTTCTTACCAAAACTGAGGAGAAATTTAAAATGCTTTAAATCAGGAGCATTAAATTAAAACTTCACAAGGTCCAGTCTCTATATTTCATAAGGTTACATCCAGACTAAATGTGGACGACACTAGGGTCTGTAACAATAGATAAAACACTACCAAGCTGGAGAGATCCTCTACAGCGGTGTTCTATTAGGGATAAAACGTCAAGCGAAACATACAACACACCATGAGAGAGCATATGGAACAGAGCTGAAAGAGACCTGACCAGTTACTCCTGATATCACTACTCAAACCTCTTATCTCGTATCTATTAGGACTATTCGCAAAGTGGTGGACTAAAACAGTTTTTGAGTACTGTTTATTAATGTTTTTCTAAGAGACTAAGCATTAAAATAGTCATACGTCATCATATCACCCTTATTGTTTTATGTATATGTTTATTTATTAATTTTTTTGTAGACAACATGGCATAACAAGGGCCCAAATATGGGCTGTAACAGAATGAGGATCACACATCCATATTCAGAAACCGCTTTAGAAAAGTTGTTTTCTTTTTTATCTTTGCGAATTCATCATTCTTCACCACTACCCAAGCTGCACTAAACATATGCACAGAGATGGGCTAATTATATGTTAATGTTTTACGTTAATTATATGATGGATAAAACCATAACAATGGATATACTGTACCATGCATTACATTTACGCAATTATCCCACCAAAACTTTGCTTATTAAAACAGAGAGACACATTCCCACTAACTAATAATAAAGTTTTACATATCAACTATGTCAAAATTGAGGCTTTCTATTTCTATACTTTAGGTTTTAGTACCTTAAGTCTACATAAATATAGACTACCTCTGTAACATTAGTGTAAGACTGCTCTAAGTGAACTGTCTCACATAATTCAGGTCTGTATATTGACGTATAGTATAGGTATATTGAAAAAGAGAAAGAGAGAAAATTCATAAAATACTGATGATGACTATTTAAGCCTCAGGTTCTATGTTAATGAAATGGGAATGAAATGCACCAGTGAAGACCATTCGTAATGATGCACTTAACATCAGATGGTGGGTTTCTCCTCAAAATTGTACCATTACTTAATAATTAAGATAATCTCATATTTTCATGAGTTTCTCCTCCAAAATAACCAGCCTTATTTACAACCTAATGCAATACAACGAAGACATTTTCTGAAGTAGTTTTGCCTCAGAAAAGAACTAAGAATAATGGAAGAATTGCATGCAATTAAATGACTATAAAAGTTGACTATAAATGTACACCTCATTCCTTGAAAACGTTTCTATACCTTGTGTAAGTTTCCTTGGGAGTCTCCTAGAAACGCAATAGTATGTTCCTCCCTTACACTCACAGCCACAGCAGTGAGACGGACAGATGGACTGTCAAATATTGGCTCAGCTTCCACAAGCGCCCGGCTTGCCATTGGACTAGGGGTGTGATCAGAGCCACATGGGTAAGCATCCAAAGTGTTCTACAGAGAGAGACGAAAGTCAAAGATTAAAACAAAACTCAATATTGTTTTACAACTGATAAATTTGACTGTCATGTCAAATACCTTTTGAGGTATAAAGTCAACATAAAAACAATGTTTTGCACACTGCTACACAGTAGTATAGAAGGAGTAAAGATTAGTTGTTTATATCTCAAGCCTAAATAAAACTACCCATAACATTTCAAAAAAATCGTTTTTATTGTTGCTGTTGAAAGAAATTAAAACTTTTATTCAGCAACAATGTATAAAATGTATAAAAAAATGTCAGTAAAGAAGACCATTTCTATTATTTCAAACAAATGCTCTTCTTCGAACTTTGTTCATCAGAGAATCCTAAAAAAAAAAAAAAAGGTACACAGCATCACAGTTTCCACATTTCATTAAGCAACACAACCATAATAAATCAGCATATTAGAATGATTTCTTGTTACTTTTAACACTGTCGTTACTCTGATTTTTTAAATAACTGTGTTGTTAGCTACCCTCTCCGGACCAGTTTAGAATATTTATTTATGGCTACACAACTGGGGTGGTGGAATTTTGATGTCATCATAGAATGAAGCCTTGTTCAATTATAGTTTTCCTTCCCCTGAAGAGGTTAACTGCTATGTTCAGGGGCACAGTGATGCAGGATCTGAAACTACAACCTCAGTTACCAACCTAATCTAACCTTATAGCTATTTTCCACTTATAGCTATAATTCCACTAACATTCATGAATCACAAGTGGTCAAAAGAGACACATTGCTGTTTACACCTGGTAGTAAAATGGGTTTCCTGTGACCAGGGTAGGGTCTATCATTTTGAGACCTTGTTTGTTCAAACTGATAAAGAGGACTTGACTGTATAGCTCTAAAGAAAATGCTTTTAAGTTTGTAACAGTGGGACTTAGAAGCTGTTCACAACTGTTGTCTGAAGCAGTAAACTCACCGTTGGAAGATTGGCACAGTTTGATTTGACTTCATACTCGATGTATGCAACCTCCTGTCCATCTGCACGACCCATTTCAGTGTAGCACAGATCTCTTGTAGCATCAATACGTTTATCCACTTCCTCAAGTGAAAACACACATACTGCAGACTCTTCATTTGGCCGACTGGAAGAAGCGAAATGGCTCGAAAACACCCCCAAAAGGACCTCTTGTTCCGAAGCAGCTGTACGTTCTTTTCCCATAACCTTATCTAACTTTGGTATGCCTACATGTAGAGCTTGTAGAAGGTTATAATTCTTTCCTCCAGCTGAACGGCAGCTTAATGGAACTTCTACATATGAATAATATGCAGTATCATCCAAACACATACGGGAAACATATGTGCGATAATCTCTCGACGGTGACTGTAAGTCCCTCCGATAGAACATGAAGTAGACATACGAGCGATGGGTAAATGATGTTACAAAATGATGATCATACTCAGAAAGTCTCCCAGCCACCGCTAACTTTGAAGTTTCTTCATATGAGAAAACAGGCTCCATAACTAAGTTTCGAGTAGATATTGGGGGTTGGCTGTTGGTGTAACCCCGCCCCACAAACAGCACTGGCTGTTGTTTCCCACGGCCTCTAGTGAGCGCCACAAGTCCTACTGTAGAGACATTGGGGTCATTAGCCGCCACATACTGCGTATCCACAGGCCTCTCTGCAGAGAAAAGCACTTTCCCCACTGAATCCAAACTTCGTTTCTGACATATTCCTTGATAAACACTTCCACAACTGATGAGCTCCTGACTATAAGGATCCACGAGTAGTAGCTTGTTGTGGTTATTGGTCCATTTTGCCTGTGGGCAATTTGTGTCACTAATTGGGGGCAGGCAGTCACGGCTGTCTATCACAGGCCCCGTCTCTTCCTCTGCCTCAAGCTGAAGATCGAAAGAAAGCTGGTAAAGCCGATCACGGGCGCCTAAATAGACCCGACCCAATTTAGGGTCAGGATGCAAAGCCAGGTGCTCAAAGTACGTATCATTGCGCAAGAAAGTGGGGTGATGGCTGGAAGAAGCAGAGCTCTGGGTGACCACGCAACAACACAATATGGAGAAAAGAGAAGAGAACACACACACCATCCCAGGTGGCATGTCAACTATTCTAAGAGCAAAGAGAGAAAGAGGATAAAAGAGAAAAAAAAGAAAACAAAAACTGTGAAAATTACATTATAATAACAACCCCAATTATTTAAACATCAGTGTAAATATTGTAAATCTTATTAAAACAACATAATATCCCATTAACACAAATCAAGAAATTATGCCACATATGTCATGTCACAGCATGTCACAATATAAAAATGGCAAATTCATTTTTTTATTTACTGTAATCAGAGAAAAAGCAAAACAGAGACATTGTTGACCAAATTTTCTTACCAGGGTTTGATCTGCAGGGGCGACATGCATACACACAAAACGCAGTCAAATACACGTCCCCATCAGCTAAACCTTTATCACAAACAGAAAGAGAGAGAACTGTTTAAAAAAAAAAAAAAACACTTAATCTTGAGGAAGTTTAACATTTAACATTACAAAACGTCACAACCCAGGCTCATTGGAATTACGTTCTGCAAAACAGTAAATACATTGCTCCTGGTACATTTCACTGCACTTTTCAGGTGACAAGTTCACAAGAGTCACTGTAAGCCCAGTGTCAAGAATAAAACATGCCTGTGTACATTTTTGAAAAATTATATTTGCGTTCAATTTTCTCCAGAACTGTTAAACGTGACTGTGGCAATATTTTATTATTTTGGTTAATTCTTCTACAAGGCTTTGAGCTCTTTGATCTGCATAGCAAGTGCAACACTGTACCAGGTGAGCTACCGAGCAAGTTTACCATGTCAGAAAAGCCATACATATGGGGCTGGTTATGTAATGCAAATGTCAAAATGTATTAGTTTACAAATCAAGCACTATGGAAAAGGTATTTTGAGGTCATAGAATAGTATTGTAAGAAACCACATGAAAATAAGTCATTATCAATTGATAATCTATATAATTGTGTAAAAAAAGGAACAAAAATGATTGGTGTTTACTAGTTTTCATTTCAGCTGGAATATGGGGTTCGTTCTTCGTACCTCGCTTAATACATCTGAGATGATTTGACAGATGCCAGATCTTTTAATCATGATAACTGATCTCTGGCTAATTTGGTTCTTCAAACAAGTTAGCGGATTTGATTAAAATATCTGTATTAAGTTGTCTGAGATTATCCTGTGTGGACATGTTCATTGGAAAGGGCAGATATATCGATATGCAAAATCATGATCAGTAATGCAGTGATTGACTGGCGGTGAGACAGCAACGGAATGACATCATATAATTAAGATCAAGGAAATGGCAAAGCAAGCAAAATTACATAAAATGTTCTAATAGATAAAATGTGTAACTGTTTTTTTTTAAGACATCACCAATTATTTTACATAACTTCTAGTATTTGTGCAGGTTTTGCATTTTTTCAATGTCAAGACATTGTAATTATTAGTAGTTCACCTAATTTTGAAGTGGATTTGCTATACACGACAGCGTTTGAATTAATTGTATGTCATAAAAGCATTTTGAGATTTGAGAAGTGGTCTGCATCTCCTATCAAAGCCACCCGCATATTGCTCAAACCAACAGCTTATTGTTCAAATTAAAGCCCAGCTCAGACAATCTCCACGAGTGCGTGTGACTGTAATAAAATTATGAGATAATTATTCCTTCATGAATAAATCTCTCAATGAGTAAAACAGGTCATGTCTATTATTGTAGATTTACACAACATTTTAACTACTTCAAAATCATTTTAAAAATTTTTTTTTATATATATATTTTTCCTCGTTTAATAAGGTACTCTTGTAAGAAAATATCAGTGGTTGGGACAGAGTTTCAGTATCACTTTCACTTAAAATTATACAATTCAATCCTGTTTACGTGAAATAAACCTGCTATCGAGCAGGTTTGAGCTAATGGACCTGTTGCTATGGCAGCAACTCTGGGATAAGCATCAAAGAACCTAACAATCCTGGATCATGTCAAATCGTCAACAAATAAAATCCAGCAAATTGAGTAATCCACATACAAAGAACGGACCCCTGAACTGAAACAAGCAAATATGCAGAAAGACTTGATTTGACTTGGCTAGTGTAGGAGTGTCAAGTTATTTTAATTTTTTTACAATAAGAAAACAAGTAGATATAATAGAAAAAGAATAGAGAACGCTGATGTTAGAAGATAGAATATAAATATAATATGAGAGCAAGTGTTAGAGGGTCAAGGGTAGATGGAAGAGATGTGTCTTTAGTAGGCCTGTGAAATTTTGGGTAGACAGCGAATCGATACGATTCACGATTCACGATTCATAGGTTTTCGATTCGATTCAAGAGTGATTTTTGCAAATTCAGAACGATTCAATTCAATTCAATTAACAATTAAATTCGATTCGATTCTATGTAAAACACAAACGAAGATTTTTAACACAAACCATTGCAGTCTTTCAGTCATATAATGTAAGTGGATGGGAATCACGGCTTTGAGAGTAAAAAAAACAAACAAACACAAACAAAACCAAATTAAACCCTGCGGCTCGTAACGATACATTGATGTGTAAAGACACAAAACGATCGGTCTATGCAAGAAACCGAACAGTATTTATATTGTTTTTTACCTCTGATTCACGCAATGTCCGAACTGTTCGAATTGTCCTGAGCGCTCTGGGTATTTGTAGCTCACAACTGCAACAGGGGAGGAGATGTGGTCATTAACTTCTTGAACAACAGCGATCTTGAACTGCCCATCACACAAGTTAGCGGATTTTATTAAAATATCTGAATTACTCCATGTTGACATGTTCTCAAAACCTGAAAATCATGACCAGCAATGCAGTGATTGGCTGGCGGCAAGACAGCAACATAATGACATCATATAATTAAGATCAAGGAAACAGCTTAGCGAGCAAAATGACATAACAATTCTAATACATAAAAATGTGTAACCGCTTTTTAAAATGATTCCCAGTTATTTTTCCCCATTTTGAAAATGTTTTACAGGCTTTGCATTTTTAAAAGTCAAGAGTATTTTAATTAGCAGCATTTAATTTTGAAGCGAATTTGTTATACGTGACAGAATTAAAGTTAAGATCCATTTTAAGACATAACTGACTGTGTTTAAATTAACTGTGCATCATAAGAGCATTCTGAGATTTGAGAAGTGGCTTGCAGCTCCTGCGATGCATCAAAGCCACCTGCATAAAATCTCACAGTTCATATTAATGCAATCTAATCCTGTTTACGTGAAATAAGCCTGTTCCCGAACAGGTTTGAGTTTACAGACCTCTTGTTATGACAGCAACTCCAGGATGAGCTTCAAAGAATTTACAAATCCTGGATTATATCAAATTGCCAACAAAAAAATCTAACTAACCGAGTAATCCACATATGAAGAACGGCCCCCAGCAGTGAAATGTATAAATGTAGCCACAGTCACGTATTTCCAATGAGCTTGCAATCTCAGCCAATACTGATAGCACTTCCAACTCTCCATGCTATTGAAATTCATTACCAGCCTTGATTAAAAAACTGAGAAATAAAAAATTAAAAAAAATGATTTCATTACATCAAATACTTGAAAATATCGAATAAATTCCTTAAATCCACTGTTTGCAGAACGTTTGACAACATAAAATGTCGCCCTGTGAAATGTTTTCAATATTCAACTTGTATTCATTTCTCATTCTGCTGTTTGTTGTAGGGGTGCTCCGATCAGGATTTTTGAGGCCGATCACCGATCGCCGATCACAGAAAGCAGTATCTGCCGATACCGATCTTTTTAAAGCCTTCTTTTTATAATTTATAACGATTTATAGTGATACTCCAACCAGGATTTTTAGACATTTATTCAGGGCCTGTATTTCATTTTTGAAAATGGAGGGAATTCCCCTCTTAGGTGACTCTTGTGAGAGGAGAAGCAGCTTGGACTGTGCTTTCACACAGGAGTCCGCTACTGATCCGTGGCTGTTTACCACAAACACAACATTTATCCATTATTTTTATTTCAAATCCAAACATTGTCACTGAAAATGCCCTCGATTGTGCAAGTGACAATTCCTGTGTCATCTGTGCAGCGTGCCGCTCGCTTATAGACAGACGCGATCTGGTGATTTGAAGACATTTGCGTATTTTGAGAGAGAGCGCGCGGTGATTCACTCACACTGTTTGTGAAATTACGTTTCACACAAGGTTCTCAAATTACTTTATAAGTTATTTGATGAAGAAATATGAAGGTGAGTACCTCACCTTCAGCATTATAATTATTTCACCCGCGCCGGACAGAGAATAGTGATCGGTAGCCGATCAATCGGAGCACCCCTAGTTTGTTGTTTTCTCATTGTTTTGAAAAATACTTTGTTTAAATTTAAACAGAATATATAATATATAAGCATGGCCGGACTTACCATTGGGCTTGAATGGGCTGCAGCCCAGGGGCCCATTTATTTTTTCACATAGAAAAAGGACACGTAGTAAATCACGTCTGCGCTGCGCCGAATCGCCGATTAATTTGCGATCACATGGCTACTTTAAACGGTTCCATTAAGCCTTTAGCCCAAAAGAGCGCACATTTACATAGATAATGATAAATTCTCACATGTTCACGCCTCACTTCTTTACAGAGGATGATTCTATATTATATTAATGTTCCACTAAATTAATCTGAAGAGTTTTGAGCGATCTCTCCCGTCCAAAGACTATAGAATTAGACATGTTGCCTATTAATTGTATACAGTATGTGAACCTGAAAGCATATTTTAATTTTTGTGTATTTTGTGTTACTCCATAATAATGTTCTAGTTGAGGGCATTTGTAGTATAGGTATGGGGCCCAAACATAACCTCAAGCTCAGGGGCCCCCGGCCCCGTAAGTCCTGCCCTGTATATAAGAATATATAATTTGCAAAGACAGCAAGGCATTTGAAATTAACTTCCCTGGTATAGGGCAAGTGAAGCTAATAAATCCACATCCTATATAAGATCACTTGTTCTTTTATTTTGAAATATATTTTTAAAAAGACAAAGCATTAAAAGAAATTTAGGGTGCTCCTGATTTTTCGAGCCGATCACTGATCGCCGATCACAGGAAACAGTATCTGCCGATACGATTACCAATACCGATCTTTTTGAAGCCTTCTTCTTATCATGTAGAATTATTTATAGGGGTGGAGGGGAGGCATTTTTTAGACATTTTTCAAAAATATATAATTATCTCTCCTAAATGTTTGACTATGCAGTGCATTTTTGTTTTTACAATGGGGCAATTGTTGCACAACAGCTTACACACAGCACAGCCTGATTTCGTGAGCTGTATGTGAGGCGGCCTTATGTGTGTGCACTTTAAGTGCGCATGAGTGCACATCTCTAGAAGAGTGTGCGAGTGCTGAATGGTTTAAAGGGGTGGTTGATTATGATTTCT